TTGTTACCTGTCAGTGGTGACCCATGGACTGTTGTTTGCAGGCTATTGAGCCGGCTAGGGCCGGTTTTCAGCCCTCTGTGCTCAGACGTCATGCAGAAACTGGTCCAGCTGGACTGCCTACGCAAGGGCGGCGCTGGGTCCAGCTATGCCACTGCTGAGACAATGATGGAGTATGAGACTAGCTGTGACTTGCTGACGCTGGACCGAGATGGCAACGGTTGTCGCACGCTGCTCCGGCTGCACCGTAACCTTGGTGAGAGACTGCTCATCTATCTATGACCGCAGCCCCAGCGGCCTGCAGCTCCAAAGCATGATCAATTAAACTGCTCTATGCACATAATTGACAAAAGCTAAGTTTCCTACTACTGATGGAAAAGGTTAATAGCAATATTTCCTATCAGCATGTATTTTTGTGTATGGTTCTCAACATTTACTTTTTCATATTGTGTTGTCCATTATTCCACAGCTCACTCATCATTTGAATCTGTCAGACCATCCAGTCATGTGCTGCAAGGGATTCAGAGCAGGGTGTCATCAAAATTAATGCGTTTTTCTTTAGGTTATGGTAAATGATAGTGTGGTGGATGGATGCTGGGAAAAGGTCGTGAGCAAAATATCTATAAGAAAGTGTCCCACCTTTAAGGCATTTTTAAAGAAATATGCTCTGGTGAAACTTCAGGATGGATTACATCTAATGGCAGCACTAGGTCATGCCACTGTAGCACCATCAATATATGATAAGGATATTTGTTAGAATGAATTTGGAGTCCAAATGTCACTGACAACTTTTTGTTACAAGCCACTATGCTTCTTTTTCTTGCAATCCTCAGAACGTAGTTCCTACTTTGCAACAACTGCAGATGTCGTGACTGCCGTCGTCATGACGACGGAAGAAGCTGCCGAGGGCCATCGTCCCTCTGTTACGGACTAGAGGTACCATGTTGAGCTGTTTAACCACACATTGCGGGTCTACGGAAAATTGCTACCTCTGCTGGTATGAATGGTGCCAGTGCAAACATATGCTGATTATTGTCCACAGCGAGCGCCGAAGTGCCATTTACGGAGAATTGCATTTGTTAAAGTTTTGAACCAGTCATATATAGGCCGTATGATACTCTGTTTCTCCAAAACCAAAATGCTCCTCAGAAGAGAGCCGCAGTGCTTAATGCCAATATACAAGTAAGACAAGGCCATAACAAAAGTTTCGTTGACCTCACACTCTAATTGCCTCTTTTTATATTGTGCCCTGGATATAGTCATGAATAGAGGCCGTATTGTGCCGGATGTAAGCCAAAGTGCAATAGCAAATAGTGCGGCTGAATATCATGCGGAACGAGGGTCGTCTAAAGTCATGTTCTGTTAGATAGCGAAATGTGGTATCGCATGATATGATGGAGGCTTTGAAGGAATGAAGGCAATGCTGGTTCCAAGCACTGAGCGGAATATCCGATGGTCGCATGTCTTCAGAAAGGCAGCACCACCACTGGAGGCTGTTGCCACGTTACAGGTGTGGGGATCGAGGAAACCCCAGCATGTCATGCGATACTTCCCCTCTCCTCCCCCTCACGTTCTGCGAGTGCACCCATTAACCAGAATCTGAAGTCTGGTAGGTATCTTCCACCTTGGTTTTGTGGAACTGGCGCACGATGCGGTATTGTTATGGCACAGCCGTTGGGGCCGGATTCGAGAGCATTATCCGGCAAAAATTGTGACTACTAGCCGCACAGTGAAATCCACTACCGTGTGGCTGATAGTTTTGTGTCGTGAAAGTATACACTTTGAAACATTTTGGCACCCCCGCATTGTTGACATGTTTCCGCCAGTGAGGAATGTCTCTCAGGGTGTGGGTGTTGGCCACACAGTTGAATGCTCGGCTCCACTGCATTCTCTGCCGGCGCCGACTCTCGACCGGGCAGTTGTCCAGTGCTGGTGGAGTAGTGTTGAGTGGGGCGCCCTCGTTTGGGGGATTGGCGCCAGCTGCCAGGTTGTACTTTTTGCGTACAGTACTCAGATGTTCGCAGTGTACCCTCTTAAAGCAGTCATCTTTGTGAACTGCTCAACCCAGCACTTTTAGGACAACACTGTAATCATCGTAAAAGGACAAGCGAGGGAACGTAGGGAGCCATACCGGTATGCGCCGTGGCAACCGTGCGACGTAGCTCCGACATCGTTCCGACGG